TTTCTCCCGCCAACAAAGCGGCCGTGTCACGGCGTTTAAACGCAAAACTGAGACCCCCCTTTGGCACGGAATCACGAAAAACTCAAGCCCCTTTGTTCACGCGAATTCCCGACTGGGAAGCTTTCCCCGACTTGCTGGAGTTCGCCTGAATGACGACCGTTTGTGTTATGGTCGAAACGTCGTGAGAATTGTATTATCGTTTTATATACACACACACACGTATGTATTTTTATTATTTCGTTGTTTCCCTTCAACGTGACTTTACCGACAGAGCTAAGAATACGATTAAATCGAATATTTTTTTTAAATTGTAAAGTAAAATTATTAAATGAAATAATTTATCTTATTATTGAATAAAATAAAAACATTATTAAATCAAATGTTTTTTTCAAACTATGAAATAAAAGTATTAAATAAAATATTTTATTTTATTATCGAATAAAATAAAATAAAATTATTAAATTAAATAAAGCAACCCATCCCGTATTTTTTAATTATTTTCTTTCTTGATTATAATTTTATAAAACATTTTATTTTATTATTTTATCTTATAATAAAATAAAATATTTTCATCACGCATTATTTTTTAAAAAAATTATTTCATTCTATCGCCATTCTACGTGGTGGTGGTGACTTTACCGAAAGCACCGATAAGACGAATCCCTGCAAGTCACGTAGAAACCTTTTTATAAATCGAAATTTCATCTTCGGGGGGTTCGTGAGAGAGGAGGCCTTCCCCACTTTCTCCCGCCAACAAAGCGGCCGTGTCACGGCGTTTAAACGCAAAACTGAGACCCTCCCTTGGCGCGGAATCACGAAAAACTCAACCCCCTTGTTCACACGAATTCCCGACTGAGAAGCTTTCCCCGACTTGCTGGAGTTCGCCTGAATGACGACCGTTTGTGTTATGGTCGAAACGTCGTGAGAATTGTATTATCGTTTTATACACACACGTATATGTATTTTTATTATTTCGTTGTTTCCCTTCAACGTGACTTTACCGACAAAGGTAAGAATATGATTAAATCAAATATTTTTTTTTAATTATAAAATAAAATTATTACATTAAATATTTTATTATTGAATAAAATAAAAACATCATTAAATCAAATATTTTTTTCAAATTATAAAGCAGAATTATTAAATTATTAAAATTATTAAATAAAATATTTTATTTTATTATTGAATAAAATAAAAATATTAAATAAAATATTTCATCACGCATTATTTTTTATTACTTTAATTTTTTTTTATAAAATATTTAACCTCAATCTAAAATAAAATAATAATTAAATAACACTTTCATTTTAGCACGTATTATTTTTTATTATAAAACATTTTATTTTATTACTTTATTTTATAATAAAATAAAATATTTTTAACCACGCATTATTTAAAAAAAAATTTATTTCATTCTATCGCCATTCTACGTGGTGGTGACTTTACCGAAAGCTCCCTGCAAGTCACGTAGAAACTTTTTATAAATCGAAATTTCATCTTCGGGGGGTTCGTGAGAGAGGAGGCCTTCCCCACTTTCTCCCGCCAACAAAGCGGCCGTGTCACGGCGTTTAAACGCAAAACTGAGACCCCCCCTTGGCGCGGAATCACGAAAAACTCAACCCCCTCTGTTCACGCGAATTCCCGACTGGGAAGCTTTCCCCCGACTTGCTGGAGTTCGCCTGAATGACGACCGTTTGTGGTATGGTCGAAACGTCGTGAGAATTGTATTATCGTTTTATATACACACACACACGTATGTATTTTTATTATTTCGTTGTTTCCCTTCAACGTGACTTTACCGAAAAAAGCTAAGAATATGATTAAATCGAATATTTTTTTTAAATTGTAAAGTAAAATTATTAAAGGAAATATTTTATTTTATTATTGAATAGAATAAAAAGAGTATTAAATCAAATGTTTTTTTCAAACTATAAAATAAAATTATTAAATAAAATATTTCATTTTTTCAAATCATAAAATAAAATTATTAAGTAAAATATTTTATTTTATTTATCGAATTAAATAAAATAAAATTATTAAATAAATATTATGGGATTGAGTGAAATTATTAAATAAAAAGTATATAACGGAATATATCGAATTAAATAAAATTATTAAATAAATATTGCGGGATGGGATAAAAATTTTAAATAAAATATTCCATCACGCGTTCTTTTTTATTACTTGATTTTTTATTATTTTATAAAATATGTAACCTTAATCTAAAATAAAAAAATATAATTATATAAAATGAAATAATTTAGCACGTATTATTTCTTACTATAAAACATTTTGTTATTTTGTTATTTTATAATAAAATAAAATATTATTATTTCGTTGTTTCCCTTCAACGTGACTTTACCGACAGAGCTAAGAATACGGATTTGCTGGAGTTCATCATCCGTGCGTCCTTAAGAGTGAATCCGCGTCGGCAGATTGGTACGACAACAACAACAACGACAAAAATTAAAACGGGGCGCCGTCCTTGAAAGCCGATTGGTCCGCTCCACCCAGAGACGGCTTTTCATTTTTGAGCCTCGTCTCAAAGACGGCGTCGGGGACCACCGGGATCACGTCCGGTGGGGCAGAGCCGAGATTTATTTTAGTTTTTGGTTTAGTTTGGGGGAGGGGGGGAGCCGACTTCGATATTCTGAGACGTCCCAGGGGTTCGCCTGTTACAGCGGGCGCTGCAAAACGCCGCAAAAACCAACTTCGTTGGATTTGAACGCGGAGTTTGACCGGTGGGTCGGAGCCGCTGATGGGGCCCGCGAGTTCGATGTGTCAGGCGTGATGTGTCAGGCGCGATGTGTCAGGCGTGATGTGTCAGGCGCGAGGTGTCAGGCGTGATGTGTCAGGCACGATGTGTCAGGCGTGATGTGTCAGGCGTGATGTGTCAGGCGTGAGGTGTCAGGCGTGATGTGTCAGGCGTGATGTGTCAGGCACGATGTGTCAGGCGCGATGTGTCAGGCACGATGTGTCAGGCGCGAGGTGTCAGGCGCGAGGTGTCAGGCGTGATGTGTCAGGCGTGATGTGTCAGGCGTGATGTGTCAGGCGTGATGTGTCAGGCACGATGTGTCAGGCGTGATGTGTCAGGCACGATGTGTCAGGTGCGAGGTGTCAGGCGTGATTTGTCAGGCGTGATGTGTCAGGCGCGATGTGTCAGGCGTGATGTGTCAGGCACGAGGTGTCAGGCGTGATGTGTCAGGCGTGATGTGTCAGGCACGATGTGTCAGGCGTGATGTGTCAGGCGTGATTTGTCAGGCGCGATGTGTCAGGCACGAGGTGTCAGGCGTGATGTGTCAGGCGTGATGTGTCAGGCACGATGTGTCAGGCGTGATGTGTCAGGCGTGATTTGTCAGGCGCGATGTGTCAGGCGCGAGGTGTCAGGCGTGATGTGTCAGGCACGATGTGTCAGGCACGATGTGTCAGGCGCGAGGTGTCAGGCGTGATGTGTCAGGCGTGATGTGTCAGGCGCGATGTGTCAGGCGTGATGTGTCAGGCACGAGGTGTCAGGCGTGATGTGTCAGGCGTGATGTGTCAGGCACGATGTGTCAGGCGTGATGTGTCAGGCGTGATTTGTCAGGCGCGATGTGTCAGGCGCGAGGTGTCAGGCGTGATGTGTCAGGCACGATGTGTCAGGCACGATGTGTCAGGCACGATGTGTCAGGCGCGATGTGTCAGGCGTGATGTGTCAGGCGTGATGTGTCAGGTGTGATGTGTCAGGCGTGATGTGTCAGGCGTGATGTGTCAGGCGTGATGTGTCAGGCGCGAGGTGTCAGGCGTGATGTGTCAGGCACGATGTGTCAGGCGTGATGTGTCAGGCGTGATGTGTCAGGCGTGATGTGTCAGGCGCGGGGTGTCAGGCGCGATGTGTCAGGCACGAGGTGTCAGCAGCCGGATATCCGGTTATCCCGATGTCCGACTTTCCCCAAATTTCAGGGGGGGCTCTGCCCCCCCCTGTGGCTCCACGCTTGCTCGCGACCCCCCCCCCCTCCCCCCCCCCCCCTCTCACCTCTGCACCGAACCACAGCTGTCCAGCGAGGCTATCATGGCGAATCTCCTCGGGGAATTTGACGCTGAAGTCTCGGTTGGCTCGCTCAGCGGGGATGCACGCATCCATCACTTTGGCGAGGATACTCAGCACGCGATCCTGCATCATCATCACCACCACCATCATCATCACCACCATCATCACCACCAGTATGTATGTGTTGGGGGATGCACGCATCCATCACTTTGGCGAGGATACTCAGCACGCGATCCTGCATCATCATCGCCACCACCACCATCATCATCATCACCACCACCATCATCATCATCACCACCATCACCATCACCAACCATCATCATCATCACCACCATCATCACCACCAGTATGTATGTGTGGGGGGATGCACGCATCCATCACTTTGGCGAGGATACTCAGCACGCGATCCTGCATCATCATCACCACCACCACCATCATCATCATCGCCACCATCATCATCATCATCACCACCATCACCACCACCATCATCACCACCATCACCACCAGTATGTATGTGTTGGGGGATGCACGCATCCATCACTTTGGCGAGGATACTCAGCACGCGATCCTGCATCATCACCACCAACATCATCATCATCATCACCACCATCATCATCATCACCACCATCATCATCACCACCACCATCATCATCACCACCACCACCACCATCACCACCACCATCACCACCATCACCACCATCACCACCACCATCACCACCACCACCACTATCACCACCATCATCACCACTATCACCACCATCATCACCACTATCACCACCACCAACACCATCACCCACCATCATCATCACCACCACCACTACCATCATCACCATCATCACTATCACCACCATCACCATCACCACCATCACCCACCATCATCATCATCACCACCACCATCATCACCACCACCATCACCATCACCACCATCACCCACTGTCATCATCATCACCACCATCACCACCATCACCACCTTCAGTATGTATGTGTGTGTCTGTGTGCATGTATGTGTGTATGTATCTGTGTGTGTATGTGTGTGTGTGTATGTGTGTGTGTGTATGTGTCTGTGTGTGTGTATGTGTGTGTATCTGTGTGTGTGTATGTGTGTGTATCTGTGTGTATGTGTGTGTATGTGTGTGTATCTGTGTGTGTGTGTGTATAAGTTAGAGCTATTCCCTGTACACCTTGGGGTTCGACAGGGATGTCCTCTGGCTCCCACATTATTTAACATCTATTTTGACCACGTAGTTCGTGAAGCCTTCAATAGCTGTACCGGGGGAATCTCCATATGGTACAGATATAATGGGAGGCTAATCGATGCCCGGGTGCGGTCAAGGGATGGCTCCCTATTGCTCAACCACGTTATGTATGCCGATGATTTGGTAATAGCTGCTCAGTCAGAGGAGGAGTTGGAGACGCTGCTGCTGAGACTGGAGCGTGCCACTAAGAGGTGGGGCCTTACCATCAGCCCCACCAAAACTAAGCACCTGCCTGGGTATTTTGTAGCATCGGACACTCCACCCCCAAAACTCCCAATCGGTGATGGGGCAGTTGTGGAGAGAGTGGAGAGTTTCCCGTACCTGGGCAGTGTGCTTATGACTGGCTCCAGTTTAACAGGAGAGGTCTCACTCCGAATCAGTCGAGCGGCAATATCTTTTCATCGGTTGCGTAACGCTGTGTGGAAGCTACCTGGTCTGTCGCTCTGCACTAAGCTTCAGGTCTTCTCGGCCACGGTCATTCCCTCCCTTCTCTACGCTTGTGAAACGTGGACCCCCCTAATGGAACATCTTGGCCGGTTAGAAACATTTAGGCTCGCCTGCCTAAGATCCATCCTGGGTTTAACCAGGCTGGATTGTGTGAGGAGCTCACAAATCTTTGAAAGATCTGGGCAAGGACCCATCAGTGAGCTCCTCCGGCAGGCAAGGCTGCGTTGGCTGGGTCATGTAGCCCGCATGCCCAGCCACCGCATGCCGAAACAGCTTTTGTTCGGCCGGATCGAGGGGGCTAAGCGGGCACGGCACGGGCTAGAGAAGAGATGGAGTGATGTGGTACAGGAGGACGTGGAGCTGAGTGGACTTGCCGATGACTGGTACCAGCGGTGTCAAGATCGACCTCTGTGGAGGAGGCTCGTGAAGGACGCTACTGGGCAGTTGGAGGTAGTCGCCCTCCAACAACAACGGAGGGCGGAGGAGCGACGCTCACAACAACGAGCGGAGCGCCGGGTGGCTAAAGCACAGCAGGTTGGCACAGTAGGGGGCACAGGTGGTGCATCAGCCAGTCATCTCAGTCAGTCGACCCGTGGCACCTGGGTCTGCCCCGTGACCTCCTGCCAGCGGGCGTTCGACACTTCACGTGGCCTCAGGGTGCACATAGCCTGGCACAAGCGTCGTGGTGACGTCACCGCCACTTAGTGGCGAATGGCGCTTGTTGTTGTTGTACCACTGTATGTATGTGTGTATGTGTGTGTGTGTACCAGTGTGTGTGTACCAGTGTGTGTATGTGTGTGTGTGTATGTGTGTGTACCAGTGTGTGTACCAGTGTGTGTACCAGTGTGTGTGTGTATGTGTGTGTGTGTATGCTACACTGTATGTATGTGTGTATGTGTGTGTGTGTACAAGTGTGTGTGTATGTGTGTGTATGTACCACTGTATGTACCACTGTGTGTATGTACCAGTGTGTGTTTGTGTGTGTATGTGTGTACCACTGTGTGTATGTGTGTGTTTGTGTGTGTGTATATACCACTGTGTGCATGTGTGTGTACCACTGTGTGTATGTGTGTGTGTACCACTGTGTGTATACCACTGTGTGTATGTACCAGTGTGTATGTACAGTGTGTGTGTGTATGTGTGTGTGAATGTGTGTGTGTGTGTACCACTGTGTGTATGTACCACTGTGTGTATGTACCACTGTGTGTATGTGTGTATGTGTGAGTGTGTACCAGTGTGTGTGTGTGTATGTGTGTGTATGTGTGTGTATGTGTGTGTATGTATGTGTGTGTATGTGTGTGTATGTATGTGTGTGTATGTGTGTATGTACCCGTGTGTGTATGTGTGTGTGTACCACTGTGTGTATGTGTGTGTACCACTGTGTGTATGTGTGTGTATGTGTGTGTGTACCACTGTGTGTATGTGTGTGTGTATGTACCACTGTGTGCATGTACCTGGCATGCACGCAGCTGGTTGACGAGCAGCATGCACCGCTGGGGGTCCTTGCGTCCGTCAAAGCTGTCCAGCTCAGCTGCCACCTCGCTCAGCTCCTCGTCCGCGTAGAAGAACTGGGACAGCAACTGGGGGTCTCCCCTCTACACACACGGGGGGTACAAACAAAGACTCACCACCAGCACACAGAGACCCATAGACTCACCACCACCACCACACAGAGACCCATAGACTCACCACCACCAGCACACAGAGACCCATAGACTCACCACCACCACCACACAGAGACCCATAGACTCACCACCACCACACAGAGAACCATAGACGCACCACCACCACACAGAGACCCATAGACTCATCACCACCACTATACAGAGACCCATAGACTCACCACCACCACACAGAGACCCATAGACTCATCACCACCACTATACAGAGACCCATAGACTCACCACCACCACACAGAGACCCATAGACTCATCACTACACGGAGACACACAGACTCATCACCAACACCACACAGAGACCCATAGACTCATCACCACCACAAAGAGACACAGACTCACCACCACCACACAGAGACCCATAGACTCACCACCACCACCACACAGAGACCCATAGACTCATCACCACCACACAGAGACCCATAGACTCACCACCACCACTATACAGAGACCCATAGACTCACCACCACCACTATACAGAGACCCATAGACTCACCACCACCACACAGATACCCATAGACTCACCACCACCACACAGATACACATAGACTCACCACCACCACACAGAGACCCAAAGACTCATCACCACCACACAGAGACCCATAGACTCATCACCACCACACAGAGACCCATAGACTCATCACCACCACACAGAGACCCATAGACTCACCACCACCACCACCACACAGAGACCCATAGACTCATCACCACCACACAGAGACCCATAGACTCATCACCACCACACAGAGACCCATAGACTCACCACCACCACTATACAGAGACCCATAGACTCACCACCACCACACAGAGACCCATAGACTCACCACCACACAGAGACCCATAGACTCATCACCACCACACAGAGACCCATAGACTCATCACCACCACACAGAGACCCATAGACTCATCTCCACACAGAGACCCATAGACTCACCACCACCACACAGAGACCCATAGACTCACCACCACCACATAGAGACCCATAGACTCACCACCACCACACAGATACCCATAGACTCACCACCACCACAAAGAGACCCATAGACTCATCACCACCACACAGAGACCCATAGACTCATCACCACCACACAGAGACCCATAGACTCACCACCACCACACAGAGACCCATAGACTCATCTCCACACAGAGACCCATAGACTCACCACCACCACACAGAGACCCACAGACTCACCACCACCACATAGAGACCCATAGACTCACCACCAGCACATAGAGACCCATAGACTCACCACCACCACACAGAGACCCATAGACTCACCACCACCACACAGAGACCCATAGACTCACCACCACCATATAGAGACCCATAGACTCACCACCACCACACAGAGACACATAGACTCATCATCACCACCACACAGAGACCCATAGACTCATCACCACCACACAGAGACCCATAGACTCACCACCACCACACAGAGACCCAAAGACTCATCACCACCACAAAGAGACCCATAGACTCATCACCACCACAAAGAGACCCATAGACTCATCACCACCACACAGAGACCCATAGACTCACCACCACCACAAGAGACCCATAGACTCATCACCACACAGAGACCCATAGACCCACCACCACCACACAGAGACCCATAGACTCACCACCACCACACAGAGACCCATAGACTCATCTCCACACAGAGACCCATAGACTCACCACCACCACACAGAGACCCACAGACTCACCACCAGCACATAGAGACCCATAGACTCACCACCACCACACAGAGACCCATAGACTCACCACCACCACACAGAGACCCATAGACTCACCACCACCACACAGAGACCCATAGACTCACCACCACCATGTAGAGACCCATAGACTCACCACCACCACACAGAGACACATAGACTCATCATCACCACCACACAGAGACACATAGACTCATCACCATCACCACACAGAGACCCATAGACTCACCACCACCACACAGAGACACATAGACTCATCATCACCACCACACAGACACCCATAGACTCATCACCATCACCACACAGAGACCCATAGACTCATCACCACCACACAGAGACCCATAGACTCATCACCACCACACAGAGACCCATAGACTCACCACCACCACACAGAGACCCATAGACTCACCACCACCACACAGACACCCATAGACTCATCACCACTACACAGAGACCCATAGACTCATCACCACCACACAGACACCCATAGACTCATCGACACGCTGATGCCACGCCGGGTAGGAGCGGGGGGGGGAAGGTTGGCCCGGCGTCGGTAGGGGGCTTCTAGACAAGACCGAGGATGACCGTAAAACGAGTAGGCCCCACCCATCCTCCCTCCCTCTCGCCCGCAGCCGCTTCGACAAAGCGGCTTCGCACTCACCCGCGGCTTGTAGAGCCACTTCCTGATGGCGAACATCTTCACGTCGGCGGCGCCCGTCAACGACTCGGCGAGGCTTCGGGCTCCATTCGCCTCGCCTCTCTCCTCAGGCCTGCCAGAGGCGACGTGGATGAAGCCTCTGGACGACTCCACAAACTGAGGAGGCGGCGACGGTGGTGGTGGTGGGAATCGATTCCTCACTAACGCTTTATGTGTCGCTCGCGTACGATTCCGCACGCCGCGCACCGTTGATTACAAGAGGAATCGACGGTTGAGGAGTCGTTGCGGTTTTTGTTTCGGTCGATTCGACTCCACTTAAGGCGGGGCCCCGAGGTATATCGAGGGCGTGGCTTTCGTGCTTGGTGGGCGCGGTCTCTGCGATCGTGGTTGTGGTCTGCTGACTGGTTGGACAAGGTCTGGTTAATGGTGGGCGTGGCCGAGACAATGGAGGGGCGTGGTCTAGTTAAAGGTGGGCGTGGCGTTTGTTTGTGGCAGGCGTGGCCTGATTCGTAGCAGGCGTGGTCTGGGTACTGGTGGGCGTGGTCTATGTAATGGTGGGCGTGATCTAGGGAATGGTGGTGGTGGTCTAGTTAAGATTGGGCATCGTCTAGTTAATGGTGGGCGTGGTCTATATAACAATGGGCGTGGTCTATTTAACAGTGGGCGTGGTCTATGTAACAATGGGAGTTGTCTATTTAACAGTGGACGTTGTCTGTGAAATGGTAGGCGTGGTCTATGAAATTGCGGGGTGGTCCAGTTGAAGGTGGGCGTGGTTTAGCTAATAATGGGCGTGGTATGCGTAAGAGTAGGAGGCGTGGTTTAGAAAATGGTGGTGGTCTTGTTAATGATGGGCGTGGTCTATGTGATCGTGGGCGTAGTCATTGTAAGCGTGGGCGTGGTCAATGTAATCGTGGGCGTGTTCTCTTTCATAGTGGTCGTGGTCGAGGTGATGGTGGGCGTGGTCTATGTAATTATGGGCGCAGTCTATGCGATAGCGGGCGTGGTCTAGGTGATGGTGGGCGTGGTCTATGTATTAGTGGGCGTGGTCTGTGTGTAAGTGCCTTGTGACGTCACCCGCATCCGGTCCACGCCGTGTCACTTGACAACCTCTGGCTGTGGGGTGCGAGAGAGAAGCCGTCCCAGGGACTCCACGTGACACACACGTGAGGTACGTGTCACGTGTGTGTAGGTGTGTGTCACGTGTGTGTGCAGGTGTGTGTCACGTGTGTGTAGGTGTGTGTCACGTGTGTGTGCAGGTGTGTGTCACGTGTGTGTGCAGGTGTGTGTCACGTGTGTGTAGGTGTGTGTCACGTGTGTGTGTAGGTGTGTGTCACGTGTGTGTGCAGGTGTGTGTCACGTGTGTGTGCAGGTGTGTGTCACGTGTGGTTTCAGGTGTGTGTCACGTGTGTGTGTAGGTATGTGTCACGTGTGTGTAGGTGTGTGTCACGTGTGTGTAGGTGTGTGTCACCTGTGTGTGCAGGTGTGTGTCACGTGTGTGTGTAGGTGTGTGTCACATGTGTGTGTAGGTGTGTGTCACGTGTGTGTAGGTGTGTGTCACGTGTGTGTGTGTAGGTGTGTGTAGGTGTGTGTGTAGGTGTTTGTGACGTGTGTGTGTAGGTGTGTGTCACGTGTGTGTAGGTGTGTGTCACGTGTGTGTGTAGGTGTTTGTGACGTGTGTGTGTAGGTGTGTGTCACGTGTGTGTAGGTGTGTGTCACGTGTGTGTGTAGGTGTTTGTGACGTGTGTGTGTAGGTGTGTGTCACGTGTGTGTGTAGGTGTGTGTCACGTGTGTGTAGGTGTGTGTCACGTGTGTGTAGGTGTGTGTCACGTGTGTGTAGGTGTGTGTCACGTGTGTGTAGGTGTGTCACGTGTGTGTGCAGGTGTGTGTCACGTGTGTGTGCAGGTGTGTGTCACGTGTGTTGCAGGTGTGTGTCACGTGTGTGTGCAGGTGTGTGTCACGTGTGTGTGCAGGTGTGTGTCACGTGTGTTGCAGGTGTGTGTCACGTGTGTGTGTAGGTATGTGTCACGTGTGTGTAGGTCTGTGTCACGTGTGTGTAGGTATGTGTCACGTGTGTGTAGGTGTGTGTCACGTGTGTGTAGGTGTGTGTCACGTGTGTGTAGGTATGTGTCACGTGTGTGTAGGTGTGTGTCACGTGTGTGTGTAGGTGTGTGTCACGTGTGTGTGTAGGTGTGTGTCACGTGTGTGTAGGTGTGTGTCACGTGTGTGTAGGTGTGTGTAGGTGTGTAGGTGTGTGTTACGTGTGTGTGTAGGTGTGTGTCACGTGTGTGTAGGTGTGTGTGTGTGTAGGTGTGTGTGGGTGTGTGTGTGTAGGTGTGTGTCGTGTGTGTGTAGGTGTGTGAGTGTGTGTAGGTGTGTGTGCAGGTGTGTGTCACGTGTGTGTAGGTGTGTGTCACGTGTGTGTAGGTGTGTGTCACGTGTGTGTAGGTGTGTGTAGGTGTGTGTCACGTGTGTGTAGGTGTGTGTCACGTGTGTGTGTAGGTGTGTAGGTGTGTATCACGTGTGTGCAGGTGTGTGTAGGTGTGTGTGGGTGTGTGTAGGTGTGTGTGTAGGTGTATGTGGGTGTGTGTAGGTGTGTGTGTAGGTGTATGTGGGTGTGTGTGTGTGGGTGTGTGTGTGTGGGTGTGTGTAGGTGTGTGTGTATGTGTCACGTGTGTGTAGGTGTGTGTGGGTGTGTAGGTGTGTGTGGGTGTGTGTGTGTGTAGGTGTGTGTGGGTGTGTAGGTGTGTGTCGTGTGTGTGTAGGTGTGTGAGTGTGTGTAGGTGTGTGTGTAGGTGTGTGTGGCTGTGTAGGTGTGTGTGTGTGTGTGTAGGGGTGTGTAGGTGTGTGTGTGTGTATATAGGTGTGTGTGTATAGGTGTGTGTCATGTGTGTGTAGGTGTGTGTGTAGGTGTGTGGGTGTGTGTGTGTAGGTGTGTGTGGGTGTGTGTGTGTAGGTGTGTGTATAGGTGTGTAGGTGTGTGTATATGTGTGTGTAGGTGTGTGTGTGTTTGGAGAGACAAAGGCGGCCGGGTGTGGTGGTGATGGTGTAGTGGTGGTGTAGTGGTGGTGGTGGCCTAGTGGTGGTGGTGTAGTGGTGGTGGTGGTTTAGTGGTGGTGTAGTGGTGGTGTAGTGGTGGTGGTGGTCTAGTGGTGGTGGTGTAGTGGTGGTGTAGTGGTGGTGGTGGTCTAGTGGTGGTATAGTGGTGGTGGTGGTGTAGTGGTGGTAGTGGTGGTGTAGTGGTGGTGGTGGTGTAGTGGTGGTAGTGGTGGTGTAGTGGTGGTGTAGTGGTGGTAGTGGTGGTGTAGTGGTGGTGTAGTGGTGGTGTAGTGATGGTGGTGCTGGCCACCCACCCTCTCTGTGTGTAGCCACAGTGCCGGTAGCCTTCATAGACGCTGCTGCTGCTGCTGCTACTCGCTACTAACACAGCACTTGCCCCTACAGCCCTGCTAGAGGCTACCTGGGGGAGCGTTGTCTGTGTCTCAGCACTTGCCCCTACATCCCTGCTAGAGGCTACCTGGGGGAGCTTTGTCTGTGTCTCAGCACTTGCCCCTACAGCCCTGCTAGAGGCTACCTTGGGGAACTTTGTCTCCGTCTCAGCAATTGCCCCTACAGACCTGCTAGAGGCTACCTGGGGGAGCTTTGTCTGTCTCAGCACTTGCCCCTACAGCCCTGCTAGAGGCTACCTGGGGGAGCTTTGTCTGTGTCCCAGCACTTGCCCCTACAGCCCTGCTAGAGGCTACCTGGGGGAGCTTTGTCTCTGTCGCTAGGAGTGGCTGCTTCTCTGCTTGTACTTTGTTTGTGAGGAGCGGTGGCGCAGTGGTTAGCACCCTGCAGGTAAAATACCACCACCACCACTACAACAACACCACCACCACTACCACCACCACTACCACCACCACTACCACCACTACCACCACCTCGACACCACCACCACTATCACCACCACTACCACCACCACCACCACGACCACCACTACCACCACTACCACCACCACGACCACTACCACCACCACTACCACCACTATAACGCCACCACTATAACACCACCACCACTACCACCACCACCACCACTACTACCACCACCACCACTACCACCACCACTACTACCACCACCACTATCACCACCACCACCACTATTACACCCCATCTGTGGTAACTTCATCATCATCAGCAGGGGTCGACTGAGCTAGCGGTCCCTGGGGATACGAACCTCCCTCTAGATCGACTCAGCCTTAAGTGAGTACCTGGTGTGGTGTTGGTGTGGTGGTGTTGTGGTGGTGTGTGTGTGTGGTGTGTGTGTGTGTGGGGTGTGTGTGTGTGGGGTGTGTGGGGTGTGTGTGGTGTGTGTGTGTGTGGTGTGTGTGGGGTGTGTGTGTGGTGTGTGTGTGGGGTGTGTGTGGTGTGTGTGGTGTGTGTGTGGGGTGTGTGTGGTGTGTGTGGTGTGTGTGTGGGGTGTGTGGTGTTTGTGTTGTTTGTGTGGTTGTTGTGTGGTGTGTGTGTGGTGTGTGGGGGGTGTGTGTGGGGTGTGTGGGGGGTGTGTGTGGTGTGTGTGTGGGGTGTGTGTGTGTGTGGTGTGTGTGTGTGTTGTGTGTGTGTGTGGGGTGTGTGTGGGTGTTTGGTGTGTGTGTGGTTGGTGTGTGTGTGGTGTGTGTGGTGTGTGTGGTGTGTAGTGTGTGTGGTGTGTGTGTGTGTGGGGTGTGTGGTGTGTGTGATGTGTGTGGTGTGTGTGTGTGTGGGGTGTGTGTGGGGTGTGTGTGTGGTGTGTGTGTAGTGTGTGGGGTGTGTGTGTGGTGTGTGTGTGTGGTGTGTGTGTGTGTGTGTGTGGGGTGTGTGTGTGTAGTGTGTGGGGTGTGTGTGTGGGGGGTGTGTGTGGGGTGTGTGTGTGGGGTGTGTGTGTGTGGTGTGTGTGGTGTGTGTGTGTGTGCGGTGTGTGTGTGTGTGTGTGTGGGGTGTGTGTGGGGTGTGTGTGTGTGGGGTGTGTGGGGTGTGTGTGTGTGTGGTGTGTGTGTGGGGTGTGTGTGTGTGTGGTGTGTGTGGTGTGTGTGGTGTGTGTGGTGTGTGTGTGGTGTGTGTGTGTGGAGTGTGTGTGTGTGTGGTGTGTGTGGTGTGTGTGGTGTGTGTGGTGTGTGTGTGTGGGGTGTGTGGTGTGTGTGATGTGTGTGTGTGGTGTGTGTGTGTGGGGTGTGTGTGTGTGGGGTGTGTGTGTGTGTGTGGTGTG